TTGAGGGGTAGGGGGAAAATTAATGCATTGGGAAATTAGCGGTCTGTGATGAACTAGGAAGAAGGCCTGGTAGCTATCTTTTGGGGTTTAGAGCATCTCGTTACAAGTTTGTATATCTTTAGTCCCCCCCGGTTCCCAACTTTTCCTGGCAGTTAACAAGTGCTTCAGAGGCCTTAAAAAACAATTTTGTGGTTTAGTCTTGGCCCGACCCCTGGTGATATTATTTCGTATTTTTAACTCCAGTCACGTGAGGGGAAACGAGATGTTAACTTACGGTTAATAGCATGTCCCTGACCAACGATCAGGTAATTTGTAAAATTTATATTTACACCATTTACGTTTTACTCCGAAAGGTTGTACAAGCCATTTTGAGATGAGGCGGTAGGGTCTTGGGGGCGTGTCAACTGAGGGTTCTTCAAGAGGGACTCAGCTCACACACTGGGTCCGGGGTTTGAATTCCCCGCACGGGGAAAAATTAGGGACTTTTTTTCCCTAAGACACTGCTGTCCTGTCCCTGTTTATCCCCGGTTTTTAAAAAGGGGACCTGGGAGTTAGTCGATGGTGAGGTCGAATCCTGGGGACAAAATGACCCAATTTGCCCGAAAGCTCAGCATCAAGCGGCTTTCATATATAGTAGATGTCATTGATGTCAGCGGCCGTATACCTTGTACTGTACTTTAGAAATAGATATTATTTTATTATTATTATTTTATTATTATTATTATTTTATTATTTTTTTATTATTTTTATTTTAATATTATTTTTTTAAAGAATGCAAAATATAGCATTCTGATTGGTTGATGGGTTTTCAATCCTATCGACTGCTGAGTCGAAGTTAAGACAGTCAACAATTGGGTATCTTTTTGGGTAAAACGTTCACGTGTTCGTAATCTATCTGTCGGATTTTTTTACCCTTTTTTAAATTCACAGTAACCTTTGTTTTCTACCCGACAGGAATACTTTAAATCCCTAAAAGGTTTTTTTAAAATAATCTTCAGCATATTTATTTTGGAGAAAAATGTATACCCTCAGAGACATATCCTGTGGATTCTAGTAAATTGACCTAGTTAAATAATAGACGCTTTTAAAGTAAATTTAAAGGTACCCGAAATTTTGTGATAAGATATGATTTGCTTGAATTTTTAACCGGACGGTTAAATCCCAGGTAGCCCAAGAAAGGGATTTTGTCATTTAGGAGTTGTCTTATTTCCCTTGGGGGGGGGCATTAATTTTTTCCCCAGGATGCGCCCACAAAAAGTCGACTATCACCGAGTACCATTATTAGTATTTAAAAAATTCGCCCGGGTTTCTTCCGGCCCGGGCCTTTTGGGCCCCCCTTCCCAGGGGGAGGCACAAATATACTCCCTATGTTTGGGGCAAATGTCCCCAGGCCCCAGCCCATTCCCCGCCCCCACGGGGCTCGTAGGGAAACCTAGGCCCCTCTGGCGCCATCCCCGCCCCCTTGGAGCGGGGGGGATGGCAGTTTGTGAGCTACAAACTTGGTCAGGCCCACCTGCCTAGGGAAAGGGTGGGCATGGGTCGATGAGTACCCCACTTATCATACAGCAGGTGTTTAAAGGCAAAATGCCAGGGGGTTTCTTATATTAATCTGTCAAAATTTAACCCTTTTTTTACTTGTATACTCTATGAATAGAACAGTATCTTTATATAAATGAAAAGTTTCTCTATGAACAGAAAAAGTATACAAAACACAACACAAACAGAATCGAAAATTGTATTTTTTAGAAAATAGAATAGTATACTTAGAAAAATAATGATGTACTCTGTAGAAATTTAATAGTATATACTCTGTAGAAAAATTTTAGTGTGTTATAGAAATGAATGGTATTTCCCGTAGAAATAGAAGAGTGCACCCAAAATAAATAGAAAAGTTCACCTAAAAAAGAAAAGTGTACCCCATAGAAAAGGGGTACCCTTTTAAAAAAAAATAGTGACTCTATAGAAATAGAAGTGCGTACCTTATGCAAAAAAGAAAAGGTACCCTATAAAATAAAATAGTGTACCCTATACAAATAAAAGTGTATCCTATACAAACAGAATTGTGTACCTATACAAATAGAATAGTGTACCCCATCAAATAGAAAAGTGTACCTATACAAATAGAATAGTGTATCCTATACAAATAGAATAGTGTACCCTATAGAAATGGAATAGTGTACTCAATAGAAATAAAAATTATCATTATCATTAGGTAATAAATAATTGAACCCCTTTTTTAAAGTTGTGTCCGTTTTAAATTAAAATGACCGTTTTCTCTCTTTGGGGGTTTTGGTCAGCACTGAAAGTGCGTGTTGACCAGCGGGGGGTACAGGAGGGGGCTGCGCCCGCTGGAGATTCGTCGACGGTAACATGGACGATCTTTTCCAGTCACGAGTATGGGTGGCGGCAGGGCCAGATGAAAGGGAAAAAAACTCTTGACATTGTAAGTGCGCCACAGAGGGAACTTGCCTTACTTTACGATTCATTTAATACACTCTTTGTTATGCCGCTTTGAGTTTGTTGATTTTTAGCGGCTTTAATTATTTAAAAATTTCACCACGCAAAACTCCTAAACTTCTTTTTCTGATATTTGGACGAGGACCATTGTCATATGAAAAAAAGTGGAACCGACTTTTCTGAAAAGTTCAGGCAGTCCTTAGCTAAGGTTTTTCCCGATGGCCCCTTTAACTTGCCAGCTTGGATAGAACCCCTCGTGCTGATGGGGTGGTTTCCCGGGAAATAATATAATTTGAGAAGTCTGTAAATTTTAAAGGGCCCCAGATTGGCAGTTTTTCCGGAATTACCCATAAACGCAAAAAATAACTAAAACAATAAGGGTCTAAATGGGTGAGGACTAAATTTTTAATACCCATTAATTTTTTTGCCCCCCATTTAATTTAAAATGATCACAAACCAGGTAAATCTTAAAGATCATAGAATGGCCCCTGCTAAGCTAACCAAACACATGGACTTCAAAAAGTGGAATGTTTGGCAAATAATGTCTGGAGGAGGAACCATACATAGCTTTAAGACGAAAAATGATTAAAGTCTGGAGAAAGGGAGAGGAAAAAACCTAGTTGCGACGTGGGGAAAAGCGGGGGCCCGGAGTTTTAACCTAGACCCCCGGGAGATCTGGGGTCTGAAAATTGGGCAGTTAATTTTTTTGTTAGCTGCACGAGGACCCCTAAGTGTTTACAACTGGGGGAATTGTTAAAGGTCTGTTAGTTATTGGGGAGTACTGTCTATTTTAAAATTTATGATACCTTCCCACAGCCATTTTTTTTTTCCAGTGAAAAAAGGGGTTAAATAATACTCCAGTCTTTGTAATAAATTTTGTTTTACAAATCCAATCTCATTAATTTTTCCCACACTCAAAAATTTTGTTATTTCAATTAATCAAGATTCAAACCCTGTGAAGTGATAATAAGGGGTTTTTCCCCTGATGAATTGTCCCGTGTTGACGCATTTTCATGAAACACGACTCCATATCGAGGCTTTGCTTAATTAGCGAATTTCAAATTATTTTTCTAAATTTTAAACAGTCTCGCTGGAAGATTTTTGATCAGGCCGTTTTTAGCAAAAAAATCCCTTTATTTTTTCTTTTACTTTTACTTTTATCCATAAATTTTTCTGCTTTAAAAGGGCTTTCTCATGCACACGCAAAAAGTCATTATTTTGTGCGTGTACCCTGCTGAAATTAATTAATTTTTATTTGATTTTTTATTTTTTTTATTATTATTATTATTTTTTTTTTATTATTTTTATTATTATTATTATTTTTTATTATTATTTTAAATTTTGTAATGAAGAAGCTTTGCATATTGTATTTGAAAAAAACAGATGAAAATAAAATTTTGAAGGACTTAATAAAAATAATACTGTAATTTAAAACCCCCAAAAATGGGAGTCTTGTACCTCCCTCATGGGAGACTTAAATCTCGAGAACCCCCAGATAGGGAGTCAAGGGGGGGTCACCACTATTGGAAAAAACCCCGGGGCCCGGGGGAAAATTTCCCGGGGAAAAAAAAAAAAATATATAAAATGGGTTACCATATTTTAAAGAGGGGGCCGGGAAGCCAGTGGAAGGCCCCGGACAGATGACCAAAAGGGACCAACGCGGGTCTCATATGACTAACATCCCTGTCAGGGAAAAACTTGTCCCGTTTTCCCGACGAACCAAACCCAAAAACCCAACCCTAACTTAACCCAATTAACCCAACTTAACCCTTCCCGGCCTAACCTAACTTAAAACCCCTTGTGAAAATTTAAAACTTTTTAAAAAATCAATTCCCATTTTATCAAGTTTTTTTTTTCATTTAATTCATTTAAATTATCTATAATTCATAAGAAAAAAAATTTGATCACCCGCTTGTGTTACCCAAAAACAGGTGGACCACTTGGTTACGAAAACCCGGTGGACCACTTGTGTTACCGAACAAGGTGGCCCCTTGTGTTACCAGAACACCGGTGGACCCCTTTGTTCCAGAACACCAGGTGGACCCCTTGGTTACCCTAAAAACCCGGTGGCCCCTTGGTTACCGAACACCGGTGGGCCATTGTGTTACCAGAACACCAGGTGGACCACTTTTTTTTTACCCCGAACCCAGGTGGGCCCCCCTTTTGTTTCCGAACACCAGGTGGACCACTTGTGTTACCAGAACACCAGGTGGACCCTTGTGTTTCCCGAAACCAGGTGGGCCACTTGTGTTTCCAGAAAAACCCCGGGGACCATTGTGTTTCCGAAACCAGGTGGACCACTTGTGTTACCAGAACACCCGGTGGGCATTTTTTTACCAGAACCAGGTGGTAGTGGTGGTGGTGGTGGTGGGGTGGTGGTGGTGGTGGTGGTGGGGGTGGTGGTGGTGGTGGTGGTGGTGGTGGTAGGGGTGGTGGGGGTTTGGTGGGAAATTCGTAAGAATACATAGTGCATAAAACAGTAATAATAATAATAATAATATAATAATAATAATAATAATAATAAAAAAATAATAATAATAATCATGCTTCCACAGCTATATGGGTTCTTCAACGCCCTCATCACACATATGGGCAGCGGCAACAAGACTGAAATAATGGAGGCACTCTCACCACGAGCCTCTCCGTCGTCAGGTGCGTATGAGAGAGAGAGAGAGAGAGAGAGTTTGGGTTGTGTGTGTGTGTGTGTGTGTGTGTGTGTGTGTGTGTGTGTGTGTGTGTGTGTGTGTGTGTGTGTGTGTGTGTGTGTGTGTGTGTGTTTTGCATCAGAGACAAGTACTTAGTCTTTTGCTGTGCACTATACCTCCTTAGTGTTTATCTTTCAAGTATACTTGTTTCCAAAAGAGTAGTTCTCAATGTGACAGAATCTACAAGATACTCAGCCAAGCCAGTGTTTCATAGGGAAGTGTACTCTTGCATTGTTATGGATGTCTACTTCAGCAGGGTCCTCTGGGCCCACCATGATGTTAATATTGGAGCAGGGGTTTAAAAATGAATGGAAAAGTGTTGGATCTCGGGTATGAGGATGTCCTTGGAGTGAAATTTGACTCCAAAATGTCTATGAAGAATCACGTGAGAAATCTTGCAAGCAAGGCAGTCAAGAAGCTTACAGCTCTGTTCTATGCACAGGTACACTCACAAATTGAATAAGCACCATTTACTTGGATTGCATAACCCGCGTCTCATCTACGACTTCTAGACAGAAAGGAAAATCGAGTAAGAAGATGTATCTCTCCCCTAGACCCGGCATGAATGGATCTGCCATTTCAACAGGGACTTCAACACGGAGAGATGTAGGTGGCTTTGTCGTTATGTACAAGTCCAATGATGCTCAAAAACAGTGTCCAGAATATGTTGCTGCTAATTTTGTCAAGGCTGGGAACCAAAGCAATCATAGTACTAGGGGGAGAGAGCACAACTTGAAAGTACCCACAGTCAGTGGCCAGGCTTCAAACACCTTTTATTGTACAGCAATAAAGGAATGGAACAGATTGCCTGCACCTGTCATAGCCAGTCATAGCATGAACCAGTTCAAGAAGAGAGCCAAAATGTGCCTAATGAATGTAGTGACAGAAAGGGAGGAGAATGATTTTTAATTTTTTTTCAGCTAACACACCTGGGAGTGACTATGTCAGAGGATCTCGCCTTCAAAGACCACAACAATGTATCTACCTCATGCGCTAGGAAAATGATTGGATGGATAATGAGAGCCTTCAAAACTAGGGAAGCCAGGCCCATGATGATTATCTTCAAATTGCTTGTGCTCTCTAGGCTGGAATACTGCTGTACAGTAACGGCCCCCTTTAAGGCTGGCGACATTGCAGACGTGGAGAGTGTACAAAGAACTTTCACGGCACACATAAGTACGATAAGGCGCGTAAACTACTGGGAACGGTTGAAAGTCCTTGATCTGTATTCCCTCGAACGCAGGCGAGAGAGATACATGATAATATACACTTGGAAGGTCCTGGAGGGATTGGTACCAAACCTGCACACGAAAATCGCTCCCTATGAAAGCAAAAGACTCGGCAGGAGATGCAATTTTTCCCCGATGAAAAGCAGGGGCGCCACGAGTACATTCAGAGAACACAATAAGTGTCCGGGGCCCAAGACTGTTCAATTGCTTCCCAGCATACATAAGGGGGATTACCAATAGACCAACCTGGCCGTAGTTCGTACGTCAGCTTGCGTGCAGCCAACAGTAACAGCCTGGTTGATCAGACCCTGATCCACCATGAGGCCTGGTCTCAGACCGAGCCGCGAGGGCGTTGACCCCCGAAACCCTCTCCAGGTAAACACATTTAAACGTAAATAATCTATTTACCATATTCCTAGTATATATACTTTATCTCCTACATTGTATAATAATAAGGTATTAAAAGGACCCCAATGGAAATACATATAAGCCACTGACTTTTTTGGGATATCCTCTGTAACTGTATTTGTGTATACCTGAATAAACTTACTTAAGATGTCAGTGTACTTCACTTCGCTGTACTTCGCGGACATCGAGAAGGCAGCATCTAGACAACAAGATGGGCAGCAGACAGCAACTACACTCTGGCTTACCATTCTCCGGAACATTACTTCGTCTGAGAACATTTATTCCTAGAATAACTTGAGTCTGGAACATGTTCGTACATCATAACAACATCGATGAAATAAAATCAGTTGTCCAAATGGAACTGCACGCTCACAGTTGGCTCCATTTTCATTCTGTTTCCTGTTTGCATGTTTCATAACAATGATAATTAAATAAAGGTAATGTTAGGTAAGAGTCTCCAATGAGCTGAAGTAGGTAACAGCTCTTAGCTTTTAAATAAAGGTAGGAACTCATAACCTAACCTTGTAAAGAACCCTTGTGTAAAGAAGAGAGAGAAGGAGACTGGATAACCTTCTATCACTGCTGCAGACGAGGACGGTGAGGGTGGTGAGATGAGCATTAAGAGGCTGTTAGAAGAGGCGTGGACAGAGGAGATCACGGTAGAGGGAAGTTACAAGGGCGTCCACCTGACCCCGCCTCTCACCTCTGACTCTATACACCAGTTGGTCGACGCCTTCAAGAAGAAAAAGGTCAGTTCTAAGATGCCTTCACGAGTTGTGAAGACAAATTTCTCCCCGCTGACCTTGGCAGGGACACCCTCTTCTCTCACCCTTACGACACTATAAATTGAAGGTTTTCTAGTGGCACTGGTATAATGGAATTTTATCTTCACGTGTCTTACAGTGCCTAAGATGTGCTTCATTCTGATAGCAGTGCTTGACTCTCTGAGTGAGTGTTTGAGCAAATAAGTATGTGATTAAGAATTGGCCATCATGGGCCAGTAGGCCTACAGTAGTGCGAATCTATTTATGTTGTGTCAGGTCCATTGTTTTAATTTGCTCCTGTGCTCTCATACTGCTCACAGCTAAGAGCTGTGAGCAGAATGAAACATCGTTTCATACTGTTTTATCTGCATCATCCTTGTTAAATATTTTAATTTGGTGTGATGTCCCTGAGACGGCTTCCCTAAGTATGTTGTGAATTTTATTATTAACATGTTGAAAGAGAGCAGAGTTCTAATGCCCATATTGAACTGTCTTCTTGTATTCGATGATCTTAGTATTAAATTTGTTCTTTCCGTTGTATACAAAATTATAATCTCTGCAGGGTCACAAACCGGGCCGCGGGGGAGTTCACCCTCGAGACCTTCTCCAGGTATACCTCTCCAGGTATACCTCTCCAGGTATACCTCTCCAGGTATACCTCTCCAGGTATACCTCTCCAGGTATACCTCTCCAGGTATGCCTCTCCAGGTATACCTCTCCAGGTATACCTCTCCAGGTATACCTCTCCAGGTATACCTCTCCAGGTATGCCTCTCCAGGTATACCTCCCCAGGTATACCTCTCCAGGTATACCTCTCCAGGTATACCTCTCCAGGTATAACTCTTCAGGGAGCTGCTAAACTTCTGGTGTTTATCTGGAGTTTATCTGGAGAGAGTTCCGGGGGTCAACGCCCCCGCGGCCCGGTCTGTGACCAGGCCTCCTTAGGTCAGTGTCCCAGGATGCGACCCACACCAGTCGACTAACACCCAGGTACCCATTTTACTGATGGGGAACATAGACAACAGGTGGAAAGAAACACGTCCAATGTTTCTACTCTGGCTGGGAATCGAACCCAGGCCCTCACCGTGTGAAGCGAGAGCGTTAACCACCAGGCCACCATCTAGTGTTTCAAGATATTTGTTTTTCATGAACATAAATTTCCTATTTAGTTAAGATAAAAAGTTATTTTGTTAGTTACTTTGTTGAATGAGTTTAAATGTTCACTGGTGCAAGAAAAACCAGAGGTTGTGACTTACCAGAGTGAATTAAGGTCCTCAGGAGCTGATAATTTACCGTATAATAGTTTAGGTTTGGTTGTCTCACACCTAAATGGATAATCCGTTAAGGTTATCCCAGTCACAAGAATTATGTTCTTGAGAATATTTCTAAATCTAACCTCATGGGTTATACATTATAATAAGTGGGTTGAGACAGTGAGCTTTTTTATTATCAGTTGAATGACTGAAGAAATGGACAGAGAAGTGAGTGTGTTTTCTGTAAACTGGAAATTCGAAATGATCGTAGATTTTGGTGACACATTTCTAGGTAAAGTAGTTGACTGTTTATGTGCCGTTCAGCCTTCAACTGTACAGAGTGAAAAAGTTGCTTCAGTTATTGAAAGAACATGTTGAAATTGATAATATTGTCGTACAAGATGGCGAAGACATCAGCATCTCTCTACCAGATGAAGTCTGGTAGTATGATGCTGAGGAAGAATGGTAGTTTGATGCTGGGAAGGATGGCAGTTTGATGCTGGGAAGGGTGGCAGTTTGATGCTGGGAAGGATGGCAGTTTGATGCTAGGAAGGATGGCAGTTTGATGCTAGGAAGGATGGCAGTTTGATGCTGGGAAGGACGGCAGTTTGATGCTGAGAAGGATGGCAGTTTGATGCTAAGAAGGATGGCAGTTTGATGCTGGGAAGGATGGCAGTTTGATGCCGAGAAGGATGGCAGTTTGATGCTGGGAAGGATGGCAGTTTGATGCTGAGAAGGATGGCAGTTTGATGCTGAGGAAGAATGGCAGTTTGATGCTGGGAAGGATGGCAGTTTGATGCCGAGAAGGATGGCAGTTTGATGCTAGGAAGGATGGCAGTTTGATGCTGAGAAGGATGGCAGTTTGATGCTAGGAAGGATGGCAGTTTGATGCTGGGAAGGATGGCAGTTTGATGCTGAGAAGGATGGCAGTTTGATGCTAGGAAGGATGGCAGTTTGATGCTAGGAAGGATGGCAGTTTGATGCTGAGAAGGATGGCAGTTTGATGCTAGGAAGGATGGCAGTTTGATGCTGAGAAGGATGGCAGTTTGATGCTGAGAAGGATGGCAGTTTGATGCTAAGAAAGATGATAGTCTGATTCTTGGCAGGATGACAGTTTAATGCTACGAAGGATGACAGTTATACTCCATCAATATATTAAAGAGTACAAGAGGGAGTCGACTTCCTATTCTTTAGCCGAATTTCTTCTTGAATAATTCATTGCTGAATGAGAACAAAAAAAAAAAAAGTATTAGTTGCCACAAATTTTGGGAGGACTATGATTTTCTGTTGGAAATTACGAACTCATTTTGGTATGGAAGTAACTTGGTTGGGAGAAATTCAGACCGGCGTCAGCGGGTTCTGTGGTGACTAGAGAAGCTGTTATGACTCACTGTTGTTGCAGTGTGTTGATTTCCCTCTCTAAAGATTTTGGTGATTGACATTGTGAAGATTAACATAAGTCTGTATGTAAGCTTGACTGATTAAAGTTTGGAAAAAAAAAAAACACTTGAGTTGGTATTTTAGGTATTTTGGTTTGGTACAAAACAATCTTTTCTTTTTTCTCCCTACGAGAGTTTCTTGGAGATAGGAAAGGTATTTTCAGAACTGCTGGATAATAGATATTGTCCGAACAGTTTCTGAAATACTTGTTCTTTGAAGCATCTTGCTGTCAATTCCCTTTGAGTGGTCGAAATATACTAACCAACTTTATTTTTCCCTGTTTGTCACAATGAGGGTTACTAGCACACAGTATGGTTAGTAAAAGTATACAAAGCAGGTCAAAGTAATCTGTGAGACGGGACCATGAGCTGAATCTCGACCTCCCGGCACACAACTGGATGACAAATCGGTAAGTACACACACACACACACACACACACACACACACACACATACCGTGTACGTCAGGCCCATACTGGAGTATGCAGCACCTGTTTGGAACCCGCACTTGATAAAGCACGTCAAGAAAGTAGAGAAAGTGCAAAGGTTTGCGACAAGGTTAGTTCCAGAGCTAAGGGGAATGTCTTATGAAGAAAGGTTAAGGGAAATCCGCCTGACGACACTAGAGGACAGGAGGGTTAGGGGAGACATGATAACGACATATAAAATACTGCGCGGAATAGACAAGGTGGACAAAGACAGGATGTTCCAGGGAGGGGACACAGAAACAAGAGGTCACAATTGAAAGTTGAAGACACAGATGAGTCAGAGAGATATTAGGAAGTATTTCTTCAGTCATAGAGTTGTCAGGCAGTGGAATAGTCTAGAAAGTGATGTAGTGGAGGCAGGAGCCATACATAGTTTTAAGACGAGGTTTGATAAAGCTCATGGAGCGGGGAGAGAGAGGGCCCAGTAGCAACCGGTGAAGAGGCGGGGCCAGGAGCTAAGACTCGACCGCTGCAATCACAAATAGGTGAGTAAACACACACTACGAACATAACCACTATCGTGTACCATCACTACAGGCGCTACATGCCCGCTACGTGTATGTGCTACTGCGGGAGGCGGTGCGGGTGCTGCGTCAGCGCCCTACGGTCATGCACGCCTCTACAGCGATCTCCGGTCAGATGACGGTGGTGGGTGACATCCACGGCAAGCTTAATGACCTTCTTACCATCCTCTACAAGGTCAGTACTTTGTTCTAGAAGATTAAGATATCATTGATTAATGTTATTCATTTATAAATACTAGATGTAGAGGCCAGGTATTGATGTTGAACCCGACATCGTGAAACAAGTCTGGGTTATGGAATCCGACACTTTGAATTAAAGTTGAAATTTGAAGATCCGTCTTCACCTAACATCGTGTGACGATGTACAAATAACCCACACATAGGAAAATGAAACTTATGACGAAGTAAATGATCTAAGCCGAACCCAAAGGTTGTCATTAGTCTCAATCTTGTTTGAGCGGGTTATTGGTGAATTGTTGCTGTCACATTATTGTGCCTTTCTATTCTTCATGATGTGACGACCTGGAAGCTGACGATATATAGTCTTTGTCGACTTCAGGGACGAGTCAAAGATTCTGGAACAACGTTGTATATTCAATGCACCACGCAGAAACAAGCGGGTACATTCAGAGAAAGATCGCAGTCAGCAGGACTCGATACTGCTACTGAGACGGACAAGATTGTGGCTGAATGGATGAGAGCGCTACCTGGGAATCTTGTTCGTCACAGTAGTAGTATCGAGTCCTGCTGACTATGATTTTTCTCTTTAGGCGCTTCGTCATTCATTGACTTTATTAATACAGATTTAAGGACATATATTGTAAGAAGTTCTACTGTCTTCCAGTTATGTCCTTGAATTTGCACTGGTAAAGCCACTGGATGGCGAAACATCTATAATAAAGATAACCATATGTTGCATATGTGTCTAATTCTTCATTCTGGAACAATATAAAATTGAGTTGGGAGATCAGAAAATCAAACATGATGGAGGCGAGGCTCGTAAACAAGAGGAATGCCACAACAAACAAAAAAAAAGAGGAAACCAGGGAAGATGAGTCTAGTTCCCGGGGAATTTTCTTTCAGTTTTTTTTCGACACGATTTAATCCTTTTAATGTGTGCCCATTATTATTGTTCTGCCTCTGATTTTTACTTAAATACCCCCTTTTTGTATTAATTTTTTGTAATTTAGGTAAAATTTAAAAATTTTCCCCCGGGATTGAACCGTTGTGGTTTTCTTTTATACCCTAATGTGAAAAAAAAACGTCGAAAATGGACAGAGTGGATGCCCACTGCTTTCAACGTCGCTGTTGTTCCCCAAAGAACAAGTGTTTAAACCCCTTTTTTTTCCCCATGTCACTTTCTGTTTATTTTTTACCATTTAAAATCTTTTTTTTTTTTTTATTTCTCTAGAGGCGTAATCCCAGGCCTCCCAGTTTTTAAAAGAAAAAAAAAAAAAAAAAAAAAAAAAAAAAAAAAAAAAAAAAAAAAAAGGGGTTTGGGGGCAGTATTTAACTACCTTAAAAAAAATTGCTTTGACTCGATGCATTTTTTTAAATTCCCCCATACTGGCGGAAGGGATGTGGGTAACTCACATTAACTTTTTTTTTTTTACCTTATTTTGCCCATCATTTTTTTAAACCCTTTCATTAAAAATCTCTACACTAAAAAGCGCCAGTGTTTTTCACTTCTTATAAACAAACCCCTTATAGTCTGGTCAAATTAGCCGAAAAACAGGAAATAGAAATAAATGATTTATAAAAAGATAAATTTTTTCCCATATATCCTGAAGCTGTAGAAAAAAAAGATCAAAGAGTTCCTGTGTCCCCTGCGGGTTTTTTAAAAAACTAGATCTATAAGAACTGTTATTAAAACTACTTATAACACTCTGAGCTCTCTTTTTTTGAAAAAAGCGCGAAAATCCTCAAAATTTAAATTTTTGGATAAAGATTCTTTCAATACTTCTTTTGAATGCGTTTTAAATAAAAATACCTAACGGAAAAAATGAACATTTTACCCAATGGTGTAATAAAATGAAAAGGGCCCCAAAAAGGAGGAATCAGGGAAATTCAGATTCCACACTTTTCCATTTTCCCAAATGAATTTTGGCACGGGAGAAGAGAAAGAAAAAACTTTCGAGGAAAGCGAAAGGATAACTTAGTGATTTAAAACTACAGTTTAAAATTCAAAGATAAAGCTTGTAGATAACCGAAAAAATTTCTGAAAATTTTTGTATGTTTCAAAAATTCTTAATTTTAGTATTTTCATTCCAAATTTCCAAATATTACGTTGAAAAATTTTTTATTGGTTATATTTTAAAAAGATACAGACAAAAATTTTTTTTGATTTTTTTTATTATAGCGAAACAATTTGTCATATTTTTAACTCTAATCCGTACCTATTTTCTCCCTTTTTTGCTTGACGCTTATTGGGCGAAGAATCATCTCTTCCAATTCCACGATAGTGCAATATTCTTGTGCCCATTTGCACCTTACCTTTTTTCCAGGTTTTAAATATTTGGTGAAACCTTTTACCACGTTTGTCACTAACTTCCCAAAATTCGTTGGAAAATAGAGTCTAAAGTGAGTCCAAAAATTGATTTTAAATGACATTTGCATCCCATGTTCTTTTAACCTGAGGGGTTTTCGATTTTTTTTCATTGTTGCCTTCCCTTTTTTTTCCAAAAAACTCTTCGCCGCTAACTTGAAGCTTCCCGGCAGCTTTTCTCCCCCCATGAAGGTCTGATTAAAAGTCCCCCACCCTTTAAGAAGCCTGGAATTGAGGACCATTGAAGACTCCCCCTTATTTTAGCGTCGCTAAATTGGGGGGGAAATTTTTTAAAGTAAATATTTAAAAAACATTTTCATCCGGGCTCCAATAAATTGACGGGGTTTGGCCTCACTTGCAAAACAAAAACCAAAATGTCTCACGTGCCCCTCAGTATTTGCCATAATTTTATTATAATTTAAAAAAAGTGCTTGGCTCAGAAAATCACCTCCCTTTAAACCCAAAAATAAAAAACTTGCACATCACAGCCACCTTTTTTTGGAATCTTTGTGCCCAACGTAGGTGAATATCGAAAAGAAAAAATAACAAAAAATTTTTAAAAAACCATGATATTAAATTTCATGACCTAAAATTAGTTGGAAATTGTTATTTCGGGCTGGGAACTTTTGGGCTGGGATCAGTGATATGAAAACAATACCACAACACTTTTTGGGGGGAATGAAAGTTTTTTTGCAAACTCCTTTATCACCATCGGGCCCGGGTTTTTATGGAAGCCAAAACGGGCCCATTCTAATATGCCCAAAACCCCCCACAAACAGAGTACGTTTAAAAATTTTAAAATTGCATTAAAAATTTTGGTGAAAAAAAAAACAAAAGACAAACCCAAAAAGACGTGTTTATGCCCCCTTTAAAACAACCACTGTAAAAAAAAGGTTACCGGGTTCTTCATGCCAAGACTTTCAAAAAAAGCGAACTTTCAAAGGGGGGTTTTGGCGGGTTTTAAAACCCTTTTTAATTCATTTTTGGGGAACAGTTGGCTATTTTAAATAAAGGAATTTCAGAACTATGGTCAATGCAACTTTCCTTCCTCATCTAAACCCTTAAATGGTTTCCCTTTGGGACGTCCATCCCACCAGCTGCCCCGAGAAACAGTTTCCCAACATCCTGTACTTTGGGAAAATTTTTCTTTTATCCCCTGCTGTTGCCCTGATAAATAACATTCATAAAAAATTTTTTAAATAAAGTTTTAATGTTTTTTTAACCAAAATTAAACTCAGGGGGACGACAATAAAGTTTTAAAAATTTCCTTTTTTAAGGATTAAAAAATCACATGAAATTTTTTAAGGGTAAAGGGAAAGACGGGCTTAATTAGGGCTGAAATTTTTTGATCTTGCGCAGAGAAAAGAAATGGGAAAACAACATTTTCATCTTTACTGCACAAAAACCAATTATACTTCCGTTTTGGGTGTGGGGAGACAAAACCCTGTAAGCTAAATCCCCCCAAACTCTTCCTCCAAGAAAACGGATTCTCTTCATTTAAAAATGAAAAGAAATGATTTTTCGCCAAATTTACTTTTCAAAAAAATGCTTCACAATTCAACGTTCACACAAGTGAAAAAATTAGCGACATGACACCCCCAACAACTTTGATGAAGAATAAAGAGTATCGGGAGGCTTTCACTCAGGGAAAAGTTTTTAAACAATAGCTGCCCAAAGTATGCTTTTCCCAAAACCAGCAGCAATTTTCAAAAAAATTTTCACGGGGAGAGCGGGGATATAAAGGGCCCAAAAAAAGGTGTTCAGAACTTTTTTTATAGGGTTTTTAAAAAAATCACTGCCTTTTCCTGAATTTGGGGTTTATTGTTGCTAATTTCAGCTGTTCCCAAAGATGTTAAAAAGAAAAAAAGAGCTTTGGCTGCAAAAGATTTAAAGGGAGGGGGCAGAAAAAAATTTTTTTTTCAAATTTATCCAATTTCAATAAAATTTTTTTGCTTTGTTTTTAAAAAGTTTTTTGGAATTTTCCCACACGGGGGTTTTATGAAAAATTGCATTGAAATAAATGAAAAAAAAAAAATTTTGGGACTTTTTAGGGTTTTCCCCTTTATACTCCCAGAGCTAAATTGGGTTTTTGAAAGACAATGTTCAAGAAAGACTTTTACAAAAAATTTTTTTAAGGGAAAATAATAATTATATAAACCGGTTTTTATCCCCAAAAAGAAATAAATATCTTGTTTTTAAAAAATATTTTTCAATTTTTTTTTTTTTTAAAAATGATTTTGGGGGGAAAAAATCAATTAAAAAAAAAAGGGAAAAAAAGGCTTTTGTAAACCCCCATTTAAAGGGGGTTGTAAAACAAGATAGCCCCAATTTAATGTTTTCCAAAATAAATGAAAATTCGTAAAACCCCAAATAGTGTTTAAAGGCCGGGAAAAAGGGAGAAAAACTGTTTCCCAAGAAAAATGAAAAAATTATTTTCGATAAACCCTTTGAGGGTTCAAATCCCCCCACAACTCGGGGAAAAGCAGCAAAACCCCTTTTCATCTCGGTACTGCCGGGGCGCCCCCGGGTTGCTCCCACCCAGGCCGTCCCTGTGGCCCTCACACCCAGGCCGCCCTGGGGCCACCCCCCAGGCCTTTCCCTTTTGGCTCAAAACCCCGGCCGTCCCTGGG